CTCAATGCCATAAGAAATGCCAGAGCTTCAATATTTATTAAAATCCAGGTTGGCAGTGATTGGCTATTACTATAATTTTCATGTGCTTGCACACAATCTTTAGGCAGCCAGTGATTGTGTGCAAGCACATGAACTTATAGAAGCGGCCAGTCGCTACCAACCTGTTTTTTAAAATAATATATATATATATATATTATTATTATTATTATTATTATTATTATTATTATTATTACAAACGCTGTCATGTTCACGTGTTTATAATGGCATCTCTCTTATTTTGATCAGTAAAATTAATGTCAACCGTCCTAGAAATGGAGAATTCCTTACTAAAGAAATATGTGTTTGTGTGCATATAGGTGTGTGTGTGCATTTCATCACTCATCTGTATGTAATAACCTATTTATGTAGTAAGATTGATAGATATTTACTAAATTTAATAGAGTCTGGTATTGGGCCGTAATAATGGGTCAACAAGTGAAAATAAAACTCCTTACATTAACTAAAGTTTAAGTGAGAACAGGGACATTATTATCCATATCTTGTTTTTTTTTTTTTTTTTCTTCGCTTTTACTTCTCTTCATTTCTTTCTTTCTTGATAGTTTTCTTTCTCCAATTTTATCTCCTTCTTTTTGATCGTATTTTTATTCCTGTTTTTGTAATTTCTTTTTTCTTAAATTCTTTTCTTGCATTTATTTCTTACCCTTTCCTTTTTTAACTTTTACACTTTTTCTTGTTTCATTTCATTTCTGTTAATATGATTTTTCTTTTATTTTCTCATCCTTTCTTTCTTTCTTTCTTTCTTTCTTTCTTTCTCATTTTTTCTTTCTTTCTTTCTTTCTTTCTTTCTTTTGTTTTCTAAAGATTTTTCATCGTTCTTTCTTTCTTTCTTTCTTTCTTTCTACAACTTTGTCGCCTTCCTTCCAATAGATAACGACTGGAGCAACCAGGTAAAAGTTCTTAGGCAAAAGCTGTTTAGAACGAACTTTAACCTTCCATTTGGAATACAGGGGAAATGTGGGCGATTCAATTCCGTGGCGTGTCGCAGTTGTAAAGTTCTGAACTGATGGATCTAAAAGCTGAAGTTCATCTGAACATTTATCATGGAAATCGTTACAGGTTTGCGATGTTGTGACAGTGGGAAAGAGGTTGCAGGGTAGAAAATAGACTACGAAAAACGATTTTGAACTTTATTAAGGCTGAGAGTAAGCAACTCTCTCTCTCACTCTCTCTCTCACTCTCTCTCTCTCTCTCTCTATATATATATATATATACAAAAACGCCAATCTTCTAGTAAGACTTGATTGCTAACAAATGCCGGTAGGTCGATATAGATACACACTTATAGATAAGGGCTGCGTATAGATTCAAGATAAAGCTGAAAAGTTTTCAGCCTTACCAAGATGGGACTCTAAAAAATATAGTTCAAATTTTGGTTATTTGGTTTGATTTTGGGAAATCCGTCGGGCCGAGAAGTTCAGGACACAAACTTATTTTTTAATTCAATTCATAGACACTACTACTACTACTACTACTACTACTACTACTACTAATAATAATAATAATAATAATAATTATGATTCTTGCAAGAAGAAAAATCTACTAACACGCAAGGTGCTACTGTGAGTGAAAGAGAATGAGAACACCTTAGAAATAACTCGAAATCTAACCCTAAAAAGGAAAGAAGGGATAAACCTCTACTCCTGCCCCGCCTCCAAAAAAAAACTTATTGGAGGAATAAATAAGTAATCAGTGGCGCTGACACAAAACGTTTCTGACCTGTTTTCTTTCTAGCTGAATAACTCAAGATGCTACTCTGAGTGAAAGAGAATAAGACCTTAAAAAAAAACCCCGGAAACCCAACACTAAAGAGGAAAGAAGGGATAAACCTCTACTCCTGTCCCCCCCAAAAAAACAACAAAAAAAAAAAAAAAACTTATCTACTTCTATTGGAGGAATAAATAAGCAAACATTAAATAAGATTTCAGGGTTTAAGCGGAGACTTTATAAGTATAGAATTGAAACAGACTTTAGAAGAAACTGGAAACTCAATAAAGGGATAAAGTTCTACTCCTGTTCAAAATACCGGGGAGGAGTGTGAACAGGTCGTTAGACGTACCTATCTACTAATTCTAATCTAGTACAATGCTATTGTAGTAGAAAACAGTGAAAATGGAATTCTCTAGGGGGGTTGCTGAAAAATCGTCGGTCCAACCAAGATAGGATTAAATAAAAAAAAGAAAAAAATAGAAATAAAAATTACTTTATGTTTAGTTATTTGGACAGATTTTGAGAACTGGATCGAATAGACAATTTTTCAGCACCCCATCCATGACGCAACTTATGCTCAAATGGAAAGGCGGTATTCTACTCTTTTTCAAAATGTCGAGGAGGAGTGTGAACCGGGGGATAGGGGAATATGATGAGTTTGAATGGATGATAGAACAGGGGGAAAAGATGGCTTTGTAAAGGATCAAGTGTTAAATAGAACAACTAAAGAGAGGAAGTTGGGGGGAGCCATCAACGCTCATATTCTGAAGTGTCATAGCACATAGTCGAAGTGTTTTTTTCGCTAGTGATTGTGTTGTTTGATTTTTAGAAAAGTCTCGTCTTACTCATATTGGGAAAAAGGAATTGCCAACAACATATTTTAAAGGAAACACTTTCATTTGCAAATATAACCATGTTTGTTTGACGATATTCCGATCCAATAATGTTTGCAAATTTGCAAATTGCTGGTGACCGACTATCCAGCGTGGGCTTGTATGTCATATGAAGTTGTTTTGCATACAAATTAATTTCGTTTACAATAGTTAATACTTCAAGTATTCTTCCCGATTTACAGCATTCTGATTTTGATTCCCAGTTTTTATTATAGCCTTTGCCTAACCTACTTCCATTTCTCTCTCTCTCATGGAATGTTCCAGTAAGCCTCCTTCGGCTCCTCACATACACAACCCCGACTGCGAATAATTTCCTGTCAATAGAAAAAGGCGGATGGACTATTTTTTCGGGGTCGTTTAAGTGAATAAACTCATGAAGTCGACGTACAGATATTATTTCTGGGTGAATGTGCCTATATAACAACGAGTATATACGTGTTTAAATATATGATAAAATTGTCGATATTTGTGTAACAAATGTATACACCCGTGCGTGTGCGTGTCTGTACCTGTGTGTGTGTGTGTGTGTACCCCACCCACAAAAAAAGGTGTGTCAATGAGTATATATATATATATATATATATATATATATATATATATATATACATAAACTGAAAACTTGCTTCTACGTTGCAAAAATAAATGGTGTAGTTTTATGATGGGCACTGCGGCCAGAAATAGTTTTTCTTTTTTTATTATTAAATTTTTGACCTGTTCTAGATGAATAAATAGAGGGTTTTTCAGTGATTCTTACGACAAGTGATGTCAAGATGGATAAACGCCTTACCTGAAAACCTGTAAAAAAGAAGCTCAATTAGTTTATTGTTTTTTTTATATATTGAACATTTTGTTGGTTGGACACTTATCCCTTGCTGTTACACGATTTGTCAATTTTGCTGTTACCCCTTATATATATATATATATATATATATATATATATATATATATATATATATATATATATATATACGGAATCGATACTTCAAATATATAAATCAACCATTCGCCCTTGCATGGAGTATTGCTGCCATATATGGTCTGGGGGCACCTTCTGTTTACCTCAGAGTTCTTGACAAGATCCAGAGACGGATATGTAATATAATTGGCCCTGATCTGGCGTCTCGTCTACAGTCACTCTCTCACAGACGCGCCGTCGCCTCTCTCTGTCTTTTCTACAAATACTTTCATGGTAATTGCTCCGATGAGCTGCTTTCACTGGTTCCCAGACTCCATGAATTCAAGCGCCCTACGAGGCTGGCATCCCTCTCCCACCCTTACACTGTAGAAACTTTTTAATGTAGCCGTCTCTTCTACTCCAATAGCTTCATACCTCGCACCTCTCGCCTGTGGAACACCCTTCCCTATTACTGTTACCCTGAGAGCTATAATCTCCAACTATTCAAATGTAATGTTAATCGACATCTCCAGTTATCTTGATCTACCCACTATCCTTCTCCTCATCCTTTCTTCTATCTCTCCTATCTGTTCTCGCTCCAAATCTTTTGCAAACCCCTGCATCCTTGTGGCTTCACACCTTGCTCGGGGCGTAATGCTTAAAAAAAAAATACAAATTAAACTTAGCACAACTGCCTATTAAAGGATTTTGACGTTATTATGGGTTCATTTTTGGGTCCAAATCCGTGAATTTTTTGTCATGTTTTGAAAAAAAAACAAAGAAAAAAAAAAACACTTTATAAAATTCACTATTTTTTTTTATCTATAATGTAGAATGCGTTAAAATTACTTTTTAACAAAAAAATTGATGTTAAAGATTACCGATTTATTTATGATAGAATGATCTTATAGCATGTCTCGAATTTGTATCTAGATACATTGTATTTATTTTCACTTTTTCTAGTTGAATTGTTTACTTATTTTGCATATGATCCATTATTTAGGGTAGAATAAAATTTATATTTTATATGACCTCTACTTTATGAAAATTGAAAGTCAGTAAAATGCGAGCCCCGTATCATGGATTCGGGGAGAGCACGAGATCCTGGCATCGGCCCTGTTTGTAAACCTCTTTGTAACGTTACAGAAACGTTGTTCGCAGGGACGTTCGTCCATTCATCGCTAGTACTTATAGTAAGAAAATACGACTGAACTGGAACAAGATTTCTATTCGCCAGTATTTTTCTTTCATTTCAACTTTCTTTCAAATATCAAGTTGACGCACCCAGCCGCCATCTCTAAGGCATCAAATCCTACCAGTTCTTCAAACCCTCACCTTTTCCCGCTTCATCAACTCGTTAGTGAATAACCCGTCACAACAAGTTACATGATTATCATTTCCGACAGGAAGCCAATGATTAAATATGACCCGAGCCTATTGTTGACCGACACCCATTCTAGCTTCTCCGTAATAACCAGCAACGGGAGAGAGAGAGAGAGAGAGAGAGAGAGAGAGAGAGAGAGAGAGAGAGGGAGAGAGAGAGAGAACGCTTCGTCTAAATTAAAAAAAAGAGGATCTATTGCCGCTTTTGTTACCTATCTTATCTGACCCTGACATTTCTTCATGAAGATTTAATTATAAAGAAAGATATTTGCTTATTCTTGGTTATAAAGAAAGGTTTTTGCTTATTCCTGGTTATAAAGAAAGGTTTTTTCTTATTCTTGGTTATAAAGAAAGGTATTTGCTTATTCTTGGTTATAAAGAAAGGTTTTTGCTTATTCTTGGTTATAAAGAAAGGTGTTTGCTTATTCTTGGTTATAAAGAAAGGTTTTTGCTTATTCTTGGTTATAAAGAAAGGTATTTACTTATTCTTGATTATAAAGAAAGATATTTGCTTATTCTTGATTATAAAGAAAGGTTTTTTCTTATTCTTGGTTATAAAGAAAGGTTTTTGCTTATTCTTGGTTATAAAGAAAGGTTTTTGCTTATTCTTGGTTATAAAGAAAGGTTTTTGCTTATTCTTGATTATAAAGAAAGGTTTTTGCTTATTCTTGGTTATAAAGAAAGGTATTTACTTATTCTTGATTATAAAGAAAGGTTTTTGCTTATTCTTGGTTATAAAGAAAGATAAAGAAAGGTTTTATTATTCCTGGTTATAAAGAAAGGTTTTTGCTTATTCTTGATTATTGATTATAAAGAAAGATTTTGCTTATTCTTGGTTATAAAGAAAGGTATTTACTTATTCTTGATTATAAAGAAAGGTTTTTGCTTATTCTTGGTTATAAAGAAAGGTGTTTGCTTATTCTTGGTTATAAAGAAAGGTGTTTGCTTATTCCTGGTTATAAAGAAAGGTTTTTGCTTATTCTTGGTTATAAAGAAAGGTATTTACTTATTCTTGATTATAAAGAAAGATATTTACTTATTCTTGATTATAAAGAAAGGTTTTTTTCTTATTCTTGGTTTTTGCTTATTCTTGGTTAAAAGAAAGGTATTTGCTTATTCCTGGTTATAAAGAAAGGTTTTTGCTTATTCTTGGTTATAAAGAAAGGTATTTACTTATTCTTGGTTATAAAGAAAGGTATTTACTTATTCTTGGTTATAAAGAAAGGTGTTTGCTTATTCTTGGTTATAAAGAAAGGTTTTTGCTTATTCTTGATTATAAAGAAAGGTGTTTGCTTATTTTTGGTTATAAAGAAAGATATTTGCTTATTCTTTCTAACTATTCAGCGTTATAGTAGGACCTTTTTTTATGTTGACATTCAAAAAGGTTTTATTCAAGATATAAATACCGTAATTATTCCTGTATAATACGCACCCGTAATACGAAATTTTGGGAAAACATATCATGTGTATAATACCCACTGACTTTTTAGAATTGGTAGCAGCTAAATGTAATCTAAATTGAAAATAGTTTTTTTTTTATCTCCCGAATTTCTTTCATCGACCTATAATATCAACGTATTATGGACAATATTTCTTAACTATCATATATATGCGGTTTATACTGCAACTATGTTGAGCAGACCTTAGTTACAGTTTCTGGGAAAGAGCGTGTTATCGAGCGCGATCATTAATTCCAACAAGGCCAGCATGCTCAAGCCCTCGGCCACGATGACTTGTGACTTTGTGCTAGTACAGCTATCGACGTCTACCCAATTTCACGCACAAGGCTTGGGTCAAACCGTGATATGGTTTTCAGGCTCTTTCCAAATGTGCCGCACGCTGGGATATAACCAAATGCATTCTAATTATAAAAAAGATGAAAATATCTTTAAAAAATAATAAAAACTAATATATCAACCACAGATCCTACTAAAAAAATAAAATTAATTATATACTACACTAAATCTACTATATCTAATTCAATCATTCGTAATGAATCATCCACGGCTACTAACGTGTTGCAGAAAACAAACATTGTTTATAAATTTAAATGTCCTCTGGAAGATTGTATCTCCCATTTTAAAAATAATATTTATGTTGGACATGCTACAACAACGTTGTCTCGGCAGCTAAGTTTTCATTTGAATAATATGTCTAACATTACTAAACATTTACAACAACATACCTGTCCACATTCGCAATTCAAAAAAATCCCCGTTGAAAATACCTCTATACTTTTCACGAAAAGAATTAGACATAAAATAAAATTTTTGAAGCTATCTAGATTAAAAAATTGAAACCAAACCTTAATAAAATTAATTATGAATACTTCACAAATATTTTAAAATGTGTATAATAGATAGGTTGAAATGCCAAGATTTACAATAATAGTTTTTCTTTTTACTACTCATGTCGTAAAAAAAACGCTCCAAACCATACTTAGTTACCTCCTTTTAAACGGTTTCAGCAGTCACGCACTGACACAGCGTTCCTCACTTCATTTGTAAGAAATTTAACTTTCAGGACGTTTTTAGCGATCTGGCTTTTAAATAACACAACAATTTGTCTCTGACAATAATGGATGCTATAATATTTATTTTATTATAACGATACCCTGATGATGACATGTATATGTCGAAAGTACTCGGTAATAAAACAAATATGTACAAACACGGCGAATTTTCCCTGGTCTTTCAGTAATGACATCAAAAACTTACCTGAGAGTATGAAAGGATCTTAACAAAAATGAATAGACAGAATATGTCTAAACCAGTGGTTCTCAAATGGTGCGCCTGGGCGCACTGGCGCATCGTGGAAGATGTCTAGGTGCACCTTGACATTCCAGACAAATATATGTGCAGATATAAGAAATAAATATATTTACTTTATTATATTGCTGTACCCGTCTCGTCCTTATTTATGTAAATTAGGCTTTTCTGCTCTCACCAAAATTAAGTGCAAAAATAGAGGAACTCTTCAATGTTTTGACGAAGCAATGAGAGTTTGCCTATCAAATTTACGTTCGAACATTGAAGAAATCGCTAAGACTCATCACGTTCATGTTTCTCGTAAACACAAGAATGAATAAACTTAAGGCATATTTTATTTTATATTTTTATTGCATTATTTCTTTTCTGCAATATTTGACTTCATTATAGCATATTTTCCCGAAATTTTATATAATGCGCCTACAATTATTGGTAGGATTTTAAGTCTGCCCCGAATACACAGACACACACACTCACACACGCACACACATAATTTATTCGAAAATTATAAAATAAATATGTTATAAAATCACTAAAAAAATAGCCATTTTGCTTCAACACTTCTGGTGTCTTATCAAGTGATGATGTTGAATGTAGAGTTAAATGGACGAAATAATCCCATTTGTTTGTGGTGGGAATATTCTTTAAAGATAATCCGAAATTGATTCCATTCATGGTAGTGATTTTATAACATATTTATGTTATAATTTTCATATTTGCTCTAATCTGAAATCGATCTGGGAATTTAACTATATATATTTGTGTGAGTGTGTGTATTTGAGTGTGTGTGTGTGTCTGAATGTGTGTGCGTGTGTGGATGTGGTTGCGTTGTGCGCGCACGCGCGTGCTTTTTAAGCGAAATTTCACCTGTTAGAATCCTCTCGAAGTTTTTCATATCTGCACAGTTTCATATTTTAGAATCTTTTTTTTTTTTTTTTAATCTGACAGATTTTTATCACTGTAAACATTATTTTTGGTGGATACTCGTATTTCAGCAGCAGCAGCAGCAGCAGCAGCAGCTCAGTTTATTAAACACTATATTTATTTATTATATTAAGTTTTGTCTTAACAATTCACCACTGAAGATAATCTTGTATGAGATTGAAAATACTTGAGAAAATAAAAAAGACGAAAAAAGCTAGGGTGCCTTCCTTAATAAGTTAATGGCTACACTAAGAAATTGATTCGTGAATTTGAAAGGATTAAAATAAAATAGAGATAATATGTCTAGATTATTCAAACAAGCATGCTTGAAATATATATATATATATATATATATATATATATATATATATATATATATATATATATTAAATATTGTTAAATAACCCAGACAACGAATGTCTATTATGTTTTATCATCAGTCTTTCCAAGCGTCGTATAGTTTTAGTTTCAAGGAAAAATAAAGAGAAAAATTGTCCAATATAATAAAGAAATATCCAAATTTTGCTACCCCTATACACTATATATATATATATATATATATATATATATATATATATGAAGAAATATACTCTTAAGGTGTGCTATATCTAGGGGATAAAGTGCTGAATATCAGATAGAGTGTGTGTAAATATAAAAGTGAACACTGAAGTCAACTTGACAGGCTCTTTCATGCTAGACGCAATCATCAGGCCACTGACGATTGCGTCTAGCATGAAACATCCTGACGCCTCTAAGTATTGACTTCAATGTTCACTTTTATATATATATATATATAATCAGAATTGAGCGCTCTGGCTGCTGGTCTAACGTCTATGGTGAACTTTCCTGTCGTATTCGATGAATGATGGTCAAGCAGCTCATTTTCCAGGAACCGACAGCCAAACATCAGCACATATGATTTGATTATAACAGTGAAGGCTTTGTGCAGAACCAACCATACTTTATGAAGGCCCAAATGCAGAGACCTGGTGCACTACGTGCCACAAGTTTTCCCAAACGACCCTCCGCAGGTTTTGATACATCACGTATATAATACGTCAAAAGATTCTCTCCCTCTGTTGTGTGCCGATAGCTTAGGGGTAGAATCTCAGACTGATGCCAGATCGGTGGAGTTTTGGAGGGAACGGATGTCTAGTCACACTGATGAGCTGTGATACAGCGAAACAGTTTGTCTGTATATATATATATATATATATATATATATATATATATACACTGATAAACACAGATATGCTTACTACTCTTAGTTTCATACAATACGTCGTCTAGCCACAAGTGTGAGGATCGCGTCGAGCATTCATTTACCTACAGTAGCAATGATCTACAAGATGATTTTGGTCTACAATACTCTGCATATTTGCGCTGTTAATGAATACTGATTATTACAAGTAGGCATCACAGAATTACTTCCATTTTCTGTGATTATAAAAGTTTTCTTAAGGGCATGATTTTCGTTTTACTGGTTTTATTCGCGAATATAATTTGCTTGTTAAAATAAATTTCTTTCTTTTCCTGGCGCCATGATGGTTCCATCGTCGAACAAGATCAGTTCCTTTGGTCGACTGATTGGCGACTGACCGGCCACAGTAATATAATTCCTTATTATGTTTTATGTTTTTCACGTGCTTGTGTTAACGTCCGGACTCGTGTAAAAGTCTATTTACGCCGATAACAACGAGCTTTATTTCTTTCCCGGCGTCAAGTCAACAAAATTTTAACACCCGAACAAATTCCTCACCCTTCCTCGACATTCGCGACTCAGTCCGTAGACCGATAATTCGGATTTATTATCTTAAACAAAGATTATCGGGAACGATTATTAATAAAAAATTTATTAAAGTTCGATTATAAGACAGCATGAATATTTGCTATCGTTTGTTGTGAGTCAGAATTCATCTTTACTCAGGTTTAAGAAAACGACCAATATATATATATATTATATATTATATATATATATATATAATCTATATTGGTCGTTTTATATATATATATATATATATATATATATATATATATATATATATATATATATATATATATAAAGAAAAAGAACAGTAAGATATATAATCCGGTGTTCTTATATATATTTTATTTTTACAAAATAGTGCTCAATGTAAATTTACAGAGCATTAATGTTATAAATTAATTGATTTAAAATATGTTTTTTTTCGCTACACAGTTCTAACCCTGTTTAAAAAATGGAAGCTGAAAGCTCAGAATCTAATTTTGTAATTAAATTAAAGACATTAGTTCCATTTCATCCTCAAGCGAATTTTGGAGTAACTTTTAAAAATACTGGGTTTTAAAGACACAGCAAAAATCATAATTCACGTTTCCAAGGATACAGAGAAATCCAATTCAACCAGACAAGGGGTATTTGCGTGTTCATTATGGCTGTAATTGGATTTCTCTGTGCAAATGTATATGCTGAACTCAAATCAACAATTAGATATTAAAGAATATTTTGGATGTTAATGACCCCCAAAAAATCGGACTTTCAACCATTAACGGCTCATTGATAAGTAATTCAGTGCTGAATTCTGTCGGCGGACGTATACAATTTGGCCCTATTTACTCCCTTCACAGTAATTCCTTGTAGTTAACTTTCAAATTAGGGTTAGGTTTTTTTTTTTTCTTTTTGGTTATTCTTTTCTTTTCTTTTTTTTTTTTAAAGAAGAAAGTTAAGTTTCAAATTAGGGTTAGGTGGTTTTTTTTGGTAAATTTGTCACGAACTTTACCAAAGATAATTCAATAGAACTCAAAAAATAGTATTTTGGTTGTTCGTGCATGCATAATTTAATGAAACATTATTTTCTTTCAGAGTGAACAAAAAAAAAAAATCTACAAATAATATTTATTCTTAGAAAAATAATTTTTCAGTGTGATTTTGAAATTCATATCGTTGTTCGTAACAAGAGTTTTTTTAATTACTAAATAAAGCAAGAATCGAATAATGTAAAGTTTAATTCTATTGTCGAGTGTGAACCTTTTTTCAAAGAATTTTTTTTTCATTTTGCAACTTATTTTTGTTCGGAAGTTCAAAAAGTATATAATTCTGAAACACCTCTTTTGACTGACTATAATTAAAATCGACGTCATTGAGAAAATTTAATTAATTCATTTAATGAATTTCTTTTTTATACATCTAATGTATTATTATTAAATAATATTTAATTTACTTATTAAGTTTTATAAAAACGGATAAAATAAAAGTTATTTTCTTAAATTATTGATTATACAAGATTAAAGATAATTTATTTTTTAACATAAATACTAATTTGTAAATTATTGCCCTGCTGGTGTTTTATATTGCATTGATTATTTTTAATTTTTTGCGTGGATTTTAAGAGTTGGGATGAGATTGGGAAACTACTGCTGGTGACCTATGATATTTTAGGCTACCGTGCATAAATAAACGTAATTTTCTATATTATTTAAGCAAAATTAAGCATTGCTTTTACAAAATCCAGTTAATTATTACCTAAATTTACTAATTTATTTTAGAACAAATGTCAAGTACAAACTTCGTATTTTTAAATTTGTTGTTTGCATTTTTCATCTATAATGCATGCTGGACAATATATATATATATATATATATATATATATATATATATATATATATATATATATATATATATATATATATGCATCAAAAATATTATCTATCATACAGATAATATTCACTTCCTGATAATGTCTGTGATGTTCGAATGTAATTAAACAACAACAAAACATGAAAACTGAACAGTTTATTCACAATTTTCATTCAGATGGGCAACATCTTATTCGTAAACTGAAAAAATTCAATGAATATTATACAGACACATCCTGTTGGTTAAAGTAAAAAAAACTGTTTTCAAATAATATATATATTTAAATAATATACATCATAAATTATTACATACAAATAAATGAAACAGAGTTGTAACTATCATATATATATATATATATATATATATATATATATATATATATATATATATATATATATATATATTCAACGTTTCATTAAATAATATAGACAAGTGTTGTCTATTTATTTTATGTAAATACTTTTCATAACGTCTAATAAGTTTAATAACATTATCATTGAACGAAGAAAGAAATTCAAAGATGTCAATTACAAACATATTAAGCAATATACGGACAAGACAGTTAAACTTAGACGTTATGAAAAGAATTTACATAAAATAAATAGACAACACTTGTCTATGTTATTTAATGAAACGTGTATGAATGAAAAGATGCTGCCTAAATACACACAATATATATATATATATATATAGTAATCCGCAAACAGGCTGCTTCCCAGCTCATCAGTGTGGCTAGACACCTGAATGTGTTAAGACGGGATCGAAACCCGACTGATTTGGTATTAGTCGGAGATTTTGCCCTTAAACGAATGGCGCACGGTAGGAATAAGGGTAAATTTAGCCGTAGTTATTTTTAATAAAACTGCCAAAATTTTGGCTATAAATAGATTCTAGTGAGCTCAACGTGCCTATATATCTAGGGGGTCGGGCGCTGCTAGCCACCAAGAAAATTTTGAAACTTGAATAATTACAGTGGAATTTTGATACTATATCAAATGGGTATTAGAGCATATTCTAAAGCCAGCATTAGCTGCTTCAATCCATAGACTTATGATTATATCACTGAAATAGCCTTATTTTAACAACAAACACTTAAAAAAAACTATCGATTTTGTTGAAAAATTCACTCATTAAAAATAGTTGCTTCAGGGTCCTTTCTAGGATTAGGCAACCTGAAACTTATGCTTCATTAATTTCATAGTAGATTCGCAACTATGTTTAGATATAAATAAATATATGTTTGCAATAATATATACATATATACAGCTATATAGATCCATGTAAACATATACAGGTGCGATGGGTAAATTGTCGACATTTTATATTTTTAATTTCGCGCGAGCGCATAGTTTGTTTTTGATTTTGTTCACGGCACAGTATCTTGTCACATTCTCTTTCAAGTGGTATTTGAGTTTTGAAGAGGAAAAAAATCTCAAGTGGCTAGATCTGGGGAATATGGTTGTTATCGGATCTTGGGAATATTGTTCTTAGCTAAAAACTGCTGCACAAGCCGTGGCCACGGATGGAACCTCTGTGTTGTGGTGAGACGACCACACTCCACACACTTTCCTTCTAAGCATTGTTATAAACAACGGAAGTGAGCGAGACCGTGTGACAAGCAGATTCACTCTGTGTAATTTAATAGCATTATCATATCGCCAGTCCCGCAAGTTTTGATCAGACATCGTATATAATAATAATAATAATAATAGTAACAAAGATGATGTAAACAAAAAGATTCTAAATGTAATTGGCTAGATTATATATCCAAAACACATAAAAAAGTGTTTATTTTCTAAATTAAAAATGGCTATGGTTCCTCGTTCATGCACATATGTAGTCGCAATAATGTAAACAAACCTAGTCCTAAAGGACAAAACGTGTCACACTATATATATATATATATATATATATATATATATATATATATATATATATACATACATTGTGTGTGTGTGTGTGTGTGTGTGTGTGTGTGTGTGTGTGTGTGTGTGTGTGTTGATAATAGCTCAATTATTTCCAAGACAGTTAGCAATGCCCAGAATATAAGAATATAATATAAAAGGCTCAAACACTAATATTCCATAGTTATAATTTATTACATTGGAATCGTAATCACGTTTTTTTTTTGAATTTGTAGGTCTGATGAATTGGATCGTGATTACGATTCCAATGTAATAGATTATAACCATGGAATATTAGTGTTTGAGCTTTTATGATAGGGTGAAAATAAATGAACGAAATGTTAAAAAATATTGAAAAAATGTGTATGAAATGAGGTCTATGAAATTATAACAAATTTTCAATTGTACCTCCATTTTGTTGTATAAGCAATGTTGCACGTTTGATGAAATTATTGACACACTAGTCATAACTTGTGGTGTGCGTTCAGCTTCTAAGGAATTTCTCCCACTTGAAAGAATATCGTGCGTTGTCTTTGTGGTTTCAAACTTTTCTATTAGACGAGTGATTGTTGATAGAGCAATAGGATCCCGTTTTAAATTGTTCCTTGTTTTATAAGCTCTCTTCGTTGCTGCTGCTGCATTCTCAACATTCATATATATATATATATATATATATATATATATATATATATATATATATATATATATGTATGAAAACTATACCAGAGGTTGACCCAAGCCTTGTGGAGTGAAACTGGGTAGATGGAACGAGGGTTTGAGCGTGCTGGCTTTGTTCAA